GCCTGCATTCCCTTCCACAGTGGCACACACATCTGGAAACCTGTCGCCTCATCAACTATGTTCAGGAAGTGCACCTTCATGTCACGAACCTCCTGTTCGAACGTGTCAACACAAACTTGTTGATTGAACTCCGTAGCCTTCCTAAGCTTGGTGACATGATGGGCTTTTGGCTTTGACAGCTCAGCACAAGTCTCACACTCCAGACCTCTCGCTAACTTGAGAACCCTCTCGCTCGCATGCGCCGCTTTGAGAAGCATATTCATTCGGGCTGGGGAAGGATGACCAAGGTTCTCATGACATCTTCGCAAAATCGTCATCACCCTACGATCATCAAGAGCAGCATCACCACGAAGATCTTCCACCGAAAACACGCAGTGCGCAGCATGCACCTCATCCACATGATGCTTGGCTCGCAACACTCCAGCAGCAACATCCTTCATAAAGCATCTTGGGTCCTGCAGCTCGCGAACATTCACCCATGTCTTTCTTGACTGCTCTTCCACATGCTGACTGTTCGTGTACAACCGCCAACAGCTCTCACTCTCCACTCTCTGCACGCATCTCGTGTTCTCTTCGTTCTTCTGCTTCTGCCACTGTTTCACTCTGTCGCTCATGCAATCATTGACATCCTCAATGCAAAACAGTCTACCTTCACGGCACTGCTCGGCACAACATGCAACAACAAGACGTGTGTACGCAGCACGGTACCTAGCATGATACGTTCGAACCATCTGTGACCAGCCTCTAGTTCGTGTCATGTGATCAGGCGGACGCATCAGAAGCAACCTGGGCTTGCACTGTCGAATCTTTTCGAGAGCCCTGACAACGGTATCATGGCTTCGCACTTGAGTTGTCTCCAGTCGATCAAAGATCGACTCTACACAGAGACCCACTGCCGTGAGCACTTCTTCACCGCAACCCTTTTCTAACACCAACACATCGACCGTACTATCAGCCCCGTACAACTCCACAGGTTTGCGGGAACAAGCTTCTAGACCACGCCTACACAGCTTCTTCTCAGTGCTACTCATAACAGACAGAGCATTCTCATCTGCCCCGTGCGGTTTCACAGGTCCGCCGTCTCCTCGAGCTCCTCCAGTTGCCAAGTCAGCTCCTCGATTCGCTGACGTAGTAGTCGACGTCGTCGGTCTTGCGGCGTCTCCTCTGCTTCTGGATCCTGAGCCACAATCCACTGATCCTCCCACGTTGTCGCTGGCACTTGCGTTGTTGCTGGCCCTTGGCTCTGAAGACTGCTCTGGCGCACTGAGATCGACGATGATGCCCTCGGTGCTGTCTTTGCTCCTGCCTTCGCCTTGGGACGCGTTGGCATCACCACGGGCTCCTGGCTGCTTGACCCCTGCGTCATGACCGGAGTCGCCGCCCTTGGATTCATCATGATGCGCTGCGACTTCGCCTGGTCCCTGATGGCGATGTAGAGCCGGAACTGCGTCATGGT